TATCAACTACGGGACTGAATCAATTCTGACGACATCCATTACCGTAGAATATCCCTTGATATAAAAACTAATTCAAAAGCCTAAATTCTGCCAGAAGTCATTATTCTACGCGGACGAAGTCGCGGGCAACAGCTAGTTATACATATAAACCTTCCTTAAAAATCAGTCTACCCATTAAAAATAATCGCATTAACTCGTCGAGTACCGGTTTTGTAGACACAATTATAGAACAATAGGTTGCGGTCACCGGTGACCGCTTGGTGTTTGACAGTTTAAAATCCGTTGCGTAGTTTTAAAGATCTAAGCATACATAGGGACAGACAGACGGCGGATAGCGACTTTGTTTTGTACTATGTAGTGATGAGTTAAGAGACGTATAAGAAATTTTCTCTCAATAACAAATATTGACGTTATTTATACCGAAAAAAAACGAGTAACAAGACTACTAACTGGAATATTTTTAAGTGTTAAAAAGGTTTGTCTCTTGCTCTTTTTATTTTCTTTTATCAGCTGACTGTACACACACAAACGTACACAGACCACAATAATATATTCGTGTCGGCAACTGGCAATTTCTCGCTCTGCTGACTACTCCTATACGGCGCTAGATTGCGGGTAATATGCCACGCAAAACCAATATCTATGCTAATTAGATAGGGTCTAAAACGGCGTATAATATTGAATGGAATTATCTAATCTAGACAAAAGGAAATTAAATGTTTCCTACAAAATATTGCGGTCAGGAAAACACATTTATACCGTTGTTCTACCAGTGATGTGCGCATACGCTTCTAGAAATTTTCAATCAACGTTTGGTTCTCAAAAACCGCATAAACGAATCTTCTGAACGTACCCATATAATAAATTGATTTTTGTTTGTTATGCTAGTAATCATAAACGGCTGAACCGATTCTGATATTGATTTTTAATGTAACCAGAAAGCTTTGGTTTACTTTTGCACAAAATAACCCTTAAGGAGAAAGAGAATAGGTTTTATTACATTGATAAAATGTATTGACTCAATCAAAGCCTTACAGTAATTACTAATTAACGTTTAAAAGTCAGGCAGTTCTAATAAGCATATGTAAGTAACACGGTTTCATACAAAACTCAAGACTTGGCATTAGAACCATTAGCGACCGTTAATTCAAATCCTTATTAAACAGAACGAAAGTAAAAACTGACCTCAAAGCGCTGCCTTGCTCCCTCACATCAACACCATTGATTGGCTCCTCAGTCCTCGCCTGCAATCCGGACATTTTCCACCAATCAGAACGCGATAATTACGCGCCCCGCCAATCACAGCGAAGCTCGTTACATTACGGGGACGTATCCGCCAATTGCAGCGCGGGCACCACCAATCGGATCATCTGGAAAGGATATTTGGAATTAGAATTCGGCGTGTGCGTCGGTTTATCGTATAAGGCGGCAGGAAGTTCAGTTCTAAACAGTTATGTAACTGTTAAATGGTTAGGTGAGGATATGGCTATAAATTATGCTAATTGAGTGCAGGTGTTCCGTTCTTTTGTGTCAGATACGATGTTTTTCGGTATACGATGTTTTTGTTGATGGAACTTCAGGTTAGAATTATGGATGAATACAGACTTTTTTAAGTAAATTAGGACGAATCTGTTGCAACACTAAAATAGGTAACGTGGCTTTCAGATAATCGTAACTTTTATTGGCCTACAAACTTGAAATTATTTATTATGTTCAATTTCGACAATCGTAAAGCTAAAAACAGGTATTTTGTATGCACGATGACATCATAATAGTAACAGGTCAGTCTCATATATCATTTATATATAAAACCCGGGTCGTTGCACCGTCAATTAGGTTTTCTGACTAGTACTGCGGGTACAATCGACGAATATACTAGGAAACCTATCATAGTTACATCGTGTCGCGAATGTCGTAAAAGCCGTAGAAAAATAATATCTCTAATCCGGAAACCACAACAATTCTCAAATTCCTAATCCCAAAAGGCCGGTAACGCACTTGTATCACTTTTATTGTTTTAGGTGTCCATGCGCGACGCCAATTGCTTACCATCAGGTCCGTATGCTCGTTTACCGGCTGATCTCATAAAAAAAAACAATAGAAATGTGTTGTAATAAGATTTTTTTAAATAGGAAACTTGAGTGCTGAATTAGAGACTACACATTTAAGAGAAATCGGGCCGCAGCGCTCTCTGATAAACCTGAACCTTTTACACTGCGATCATTAACTACTAACAAGCGTATAGTCTATAGTAAACCCTCTTGGAGGAGCAAAGAGTATGATAAGTAAAGTTGAGGAGGGAGGAGATTCATAGTCCAGTTGAGGTTTATTGACAATTAAAATATAAACACTCTATAAAGTAGCGTCATGACATGAATACATCAACTGTAACAATCTAGTTTTGCGATTGAATATTCTATCAGCACTTATGTTGACCCTAGTAAATATACTGTGCCTAAAAATAAATACTATCATAGTTGCTGCGTTACTATCAGCCCTTTATTGACCTATTGCTAAACTAAGAGTATTGTTTGATAAGACACGTACATATCAAGGTGTACAATACCAGTATAAACTGAGCTTCGAACGAGCGGAAAGATGGTACAAAGCGGGATCATGATAAAGTGGTGAGGTTATTTTGATATGCAGCCATATGTTATGTACATGACGTTTAGTAATTGGTGTGTATATAAATAGTTATAGTGTTAATGTATTTTAGGTGTTATTAAATAGTACAAGTGTCATTAAATTTATGATTTGACATGATGTCAATAAAATTGATATTCAGTGTTCAAATGGAACAGCTAATAAATGGAATACATTTTTGAATGTCAATTATAACTGATAGGTTGTGAATAATTGCAGAGAAACATAGCCGTTCTTCAAAAACTCTTTCTAGAAAAATTCCATGAAGTCGAAAAGTTCGTGGGGATATTTTTTTCTATGTGAGTGTTAGTTTTGTCAGGAACAATACTTGTATTGTAACTCTCGTGAGACATACTAAATAAATTATCGACATATAAATTGTCGCGCTGCTACTGGTGTACCGACAGTCGCCGCGTCGCGGGTCGCGAAATGCTGCTCATGAATATGAGCCTCTAGCATGGCTTGAAACTAGGCGAGTTCCTCGTCAAATTACTACGTGACTAAGCCGAAAACATATACATAATACATATTTTCAACCCCAAGCAAAGCCCTTGAGTACCTATTTTTATAAAACAAAATACTCTTTTTATTACTATCGCTTCATTATTCCTTCCGAAAAAATCAAGCCACTTACAAAATTTTACATTTTTGTCAAACAGTAAAACAGTTTACTTATTTTCAAGTATGCCAATATTCAAGTACTTATTGCATCCATAATGTACAAATACAGGTGGTAGGAAATACAATAGTAACAATTACGGACCCTGTCGGGCACAGCAAAATTTAAACTTAGTAGAAGAGAGAAATTCTTTTTTTTATTGTTTAAGCCCACGTTTAGCCGCTATCTCGCATGATGGTAAGCGATGATGCGGTCTTCGATGGATCACGTCGTTCCATAAGCAACCTATTCACTCGGGCTTTGAATACACCTTGGTTTTACCCTTCAGGAAATACAGACACTGGCAAAGAATTCTACTCCTTAGCAGTACGTATAAGGAAGCTTGATGCGAATCGCATCGTGATTGATTGATTTATACTAGCAGAAGGTTGCGTTGACAGTCAACCGTTAAATTTGCCGATAGTACCCGCTGATTCAGTAAAGTATAACATTTTATGAGCCATGTCCCGGTTATCTCAGAATGTCCCAAATATCAGATTTATGGCGTGTCGGGGAGATAGGAGTCAGTAGCCTTTGTAGATGACCTAGTCTAGATCTAACGGCATGTTTAGGGCCCTTAGAAAGATAATAATGTACCTAAGTTGTGTTACTGAGATTTTAGTTAAAGTTTAACTCGTCGAGTACCGGTTTTGTAGACACAATTATAGAACAATAGGTTGCGGTCACCGGCGACCGCTTGGTGTTTGACAGTTTAAGGAGACACATTTTTTTAGTTCGAGTGTTTGCACCGTACCTATTAGTATCTTGACTACGATGTTAGTTAAATTTAATTATTGATAGTAAATGCTATTTAGTTATAATGGAGACAATAAGACAATTATTTTGTTTTCCGAAGGAGTCATACCGAATTGCATTTTCCAACAGTTCTTGTTTTGCTAATTACAAGATATTCTTTGTTTTTTTTAAGAAAACGATACCCCAAATTCGGGTTTTCTCCTGTGTCGTGGGTGCGTTTACAAACATACAAGTTCACATACACATGACACTCAGACACAAAGAGTTGTTCCGTGCGGGAATCGAACTCACGACACGTTGCGCGGCGGTTGCCCAGTCATCGCGTACATCACAAGATATCTCTTTAAAGTATCACAAATTCTTAGCTTCACCGCAATTCTTAGCTTAGCTTACCAGTGTTTTTAATCCTACACCACAATTGGGATGATGACAGGGTATGAAAATTAAAAATCTAATTAGTCCATAAGTTAGGTAATGAAAAAATATTAAACACATATTTTTTATTTTGTTGTATAATAAAATGATACTTAGATAATAATATAACGAATCAAAGTTTAAGAGTGGGGGCTAAAACGTCATATCTACGTATAAAATGTACATAGAAGTGACGTCACGCGACATTTCAAATCAATAGATCTTCGAAACTATTTGTTTCCGCAAAAAAATTAAAAATACGTGTCTAATGTTTGTAAATAATCTACCCGACGGAAATTAAAATAAAAATTAGTCGCCTACCCTATTCTGGACTATCCTTAAATATCTTCCAAAATACTCAGCACAACACAAACACATAATCACTAACTATCTCCTAAAAACCACATTACCACACCAACCCACATCAAAAACAACAGTACATCTTCAAAAGTTTAAAGTTCCTAATATCCTATTTGAGAAGGAAATAGGCCATGTGTAGGCGCAGAACCTGTTACTACTGGAATACTATGATGACCTTTAGACCTAATTCTGTACCACTATTATGGCATATCAGTCATTGAAGCTTCCTGTTTGTTCTGGCTAAGGTAATTTGATACGGTTTTTTCTTTAGGATAGGAGCTACAAAAGTCCAAATTGTCTGATATTGGTTCCAGGAAAATATTATTATTATTAATTAATTTTTTTATTTTATGGCATAAACCGGTAAACGAGCAGACGGATCACCTGATGGTAAGCAATCGGTGTCGCCCATGGACACCTCGAACACCAGAGGCGTTACAATTGCGTCACCGGCTTTTTGGGAATTAGGAGTTTGAGGATCGTTGGGGATTCAGGAATTGGGGAGATTGGGGAAGGGGAAGGTAATTGGGCCTCCGGTAACCTCACTCACACGACGAAACACAACGCAAGCGTTGCTTCACGTCGGTATAAAATTATTTATTAAAGATTTAGGACCCAATGCGATAACAAGGTATTATATAATTTAGCGACACCTTACACCATTTTAAACTTATACTAACTAATAAAGTAATTCAAACTATTACAGAGATAATAACGATATATATTTATGTATGTATTTATACCTATATATTTTATGCATATGACTATATATATTATTTAGTATTGTGTAATATATATGTATAGCTATATTATTTAATATTTTCTCTCTCTCTGTCTTTGCTGTTAGTTTATTCTCCGTACCTTATTTTTCGCTGATTTTCTACTTAAACCCTAAGGTTGACTGGTAGATAATGCCATATGGCATTAAGTTCGCCTTATTTTTATCGTTAAATAAATAAATAAACAAACCTTGTAATAAACTTAAATTGTGAACTTAACGGTTTGTGTAGGGCAAAGAGTGTATTGATTGTATTCACTTACTGTGTAACAGCGACATGCATCGCTGCGACCGCGCACGCTGCTCATGAGGAAGAATCCCTCTGTGGTTCGAAACTAGTAGAGCTTTTCTCAGTATATTCACGTGAGTAACCCACGATTTTTAGTTAATTTTGTATGTCTCACGATAGATGTTATAAAAAAATATTAATATTTGGTTAGGAAAGATCACAGCTCAGATGGAAATAGGAAATAAAAGCAATTTAACCTACTACAAAAAATGGAGGTTCTTACTTTGACCTGTATGTATATATGTACGCAATTATCACTCAAATGGCTGAACCGATATTGACGCGGTTTTTAGAAGAGTGATTGCTACACTTAGGATAAGATTCTACACTAAGGGACTTAAAAAAAGAGGGAGTAGAAGTCAGTTTTTTTAAAGTTTATTAGTTTTTAAAATAATTGATATGTGGAGGTCTCTCCTTCTCGGGGTTGATCCGATGAAAATTGGCACCGCGTCCCGCGACCCGCAGGAAA